TCAAGGCTCATGGAAGTGACCCCGTTGTTGTTGCTGCTGTTATTTGACTGTGCAGGAGCCTTTTGTTGTTGCTCGTAGAACGACATGAAGGAGAAGAATTTTCCCATCATGCTTGGGTCGAAGCCAGTTTACGGATTTACGGGCGCTTTAGTAGGTCCTGTAGCTGGTCCTTGGGCAATGCCTTCTTCTGTCTGTAGTCCAGAGACCGGAGGTGGAGTAGGAGTAGTGCCGGGAGATCCGGTGGATGATCCCCCTTCCTTCTGTGTTTCTTTTGTTGTACGAGTAAAAGAAACTAAAGGTAGTTGAGCCTAGTCTTGACTGCTCTCATACCATGTTGGACTGAACAAGCCCTTAGGATCTTTTCAATGACTGAGGCTCAGGGTAGTGATGTATTGGCGGAAGTGTTTAATAATGACTGGTCAAACCGCCTTGTGCTAGTATGTGAGAGCAAGATGAGTTGATAATAATGCAATGATACAGAGTTTATATATGTTTACAGGAATATTAGATACTTAACCGCTTTGTATCCAACTGTAACTGTAACCGCTAACGCGGTCTGATTCAGCGACGACTCGGATCACTGCTCAATAACGAGTCAGTTATTTGTCCTTGCTGACGTGCTGTTTCGCCGAGTCAAAGGTCGATGACCTTTGACCTTCGATTTAACTGCTTCCAGTTGTCGCATTGTGAAAGCTCACTTAGTCCTCTTGCAAAGGCAACGTGCTTCATTCCAAATGGGGCCTCTGAGGCATGTGCATTCTTGGCCGGCGGTGTCTCTCAATTGACTGCTGGTGCCTGGTGGGTGATGGGGCTGCGGATGTGGCCTGCAGCTGGGTGGAGAGGTTGATGAGTTGGTCTTGGGCAATGGTGACGTAGATTTCCTTTGCGCCATCGCTTCGCCATCGGCCCATGCGTTTGAAGAGCCGATCAGGAACTCCTAGGCTGGCTGCTGCTGTCGCTGCACCCTTCCTAAAGGAGTGGGTCCCGATGTGCGTGGCATCCAGTCCCCCCTTGCTGCAAGCCTCGAGGCACCAATTTCGGATGGTTGGGTAAGAGGGTGACTTGTCGTGCAGCGTCGCTTGTGCCCCTTTGGTAAGCACCCGTATCAGTGGCCCGTGAGGCATCTTTGCGAGGCCTGCGATTTGAATGAAATTCCTTGTGCATCTGACTGCACAATTGGGCCCTGTAGTCGCCGCCACCGGGATCCAGGTGCCCCTTCCTACTTGGTCTGTCTTGGAGTACGGGATGAGGAGCCACATCGCCTCTTCCTCGAACTGTATGTCATTCCATTGGAGGGAGATGAGGTCGGAGAAGCGCAAGAAAGCTGCGAACATGAGGAGAGGGAACAAACCCTTTTGATATTCCGCTGGGACTGCTGATTCAAGGAAGGGTCGTGCCGTGTCGTGCACCTGGTGAAGTGACACTGGCTCCTTGGTCCTTGTGGGCCGAATGCCATGTCGTTTGGCAAACTCTCTCACTTGCAGGGTGAGTGGGCCGCTAGTGGGGGAGGTTTTGCTTGTCACCCGATGGGCGAAGGCCACCGCGGAACATGTGAGGCTGATTGCTGAGATGGTTGCCTTGTTGTTCAGCGCGTGGATGAGGTAGAGTGCTAGCGTCAAGTCTGTTGCTGGTAGGAACGTGTGCTTGACTTGAACACATTAGTTCCTAAATTTCTGCCAATATGGCTGGTAGTTTTCGATTGTAGACGGTGCACGGACATTATGGATGACTCGCATCAACTGTTGTTTCGGCTATGTGGCAGCCCGAGTCCAGAGAATGCTGATGCATGTGAGCCTGGTCTGAGGCATTGACTTTCGTGGGCGAGTGGTAGGTAAGCCACCACCTCTGGGGCCCATGTCTGTGCCCACTGGGGCACACTCAGCATCATCTCGGTCTACGTACGCTTAGCGTGACTAAGCGTAGCCGGGATTAGGTTGAGGGGTGGAAAAGCGAAGCAACGTTCGCCCGTTCCAAGAGATCGAGAATGCGTCGATAGCGATGGCGCCTGGATGTCGTATCTTGGAGCAAAACCGTTCCAGTTCTTATTGTGGATGTTTGCGAATAGGCCAATTGTATGGGGTCCCCATCGGCGTTCCAGGAGGCGAAACTAGGGTGCATGCAAGGAATAATCGTCGTGATCCTGGATCTTGGAAATTTCGTCAGCATGGGCGTTCAGCTCCCTCGGGATCCATTCAATCGCCAGCCGGGTGCGATTTTTGAGACAGAACTGTATGATTGCTTGGCATGTCCTTGTTAGACGGGGTTGGTGGGACCCCCCTTTGCGCAGGATGAACATGACTCCTTGGTTGTCTACGCGGACGAGGACATGGTCTGTTAACGGGAGTGAGTGTTGGCCCCGCCCTCGCTTGGGCAACGCCGACAACTTGGTCGGATGTACGGGAGAAGCGGTCGACGAAGGCGCTGCATTTTCTGGCTTTTTTCCGGTGCTCTGTCGCCATCGGCCAAGTTCGTCTGGCCAACGTTGGCGACGGCGACGATGAAGTGCAGCAGTAGGTGCCGTGCCCTTCTGCACGGCTGGTGCGGTGACGGCGTGCTGTGTGTGGGGTGCACGCCGAGGACGAGTTTTCTCCGTGGAGTACTGCCGTGTGGGCTGGGGGCCCAAGCGTGAGCGCGGCAGGGGAGTGTTAACGGGAGTGAGTGTTGGCCCCGCCCTCGCTTGGGCAACGCCGACAACTTGGTCGGATGTACGGAAGAAGCAGCCGACCGTTCGCAGTGAAGGAGCTGCTCGACAGGCCTCGTCGAGCTGCAGGGGTTCGCTGTGGTGTTGCCGTCGACCAGGGAGCTGGATAGCTGCAACTGACTGGTCTGGGCGACGGGCGGGCCGTCGATCAGGAGGGGCAGTTTGACCGGGAGGTCGACGGAGAAGTCTGTCGACCTGCAGCTCGACCGGGCGGTCGTCGGAGCGGTCCGTTGATCTGCAGTTCGACCGGGAGGTCGACGGAGCAGTCCGTCGACCTGACAAGTAAGCAGCGGTTGACGAGGGGATCTCTGCGACATCAGCTGAGAGATCTGGTCGACGGAAGGGGTCCGTCGACCAGGGGCAGCTCGACAGGAGCTGTGGTCGACCGAGGGACCTCGTGGTCGACCGGAGGCACCTAGTGGTCGACCGGGGGATCTCCTGGTCGACCTGGGGCACCTGGTGGTCGACCGGGGGACCTGGTGGTGTCCAGGTCGACCGGGTAACCTGCTCGACGAGTTCTGCGGAGGCACGCGAACGTCATCGAGGTCGCGATGGCGAAGGCAACTTCGAGCGATGGCTGGTATCCCGAAGTTGATGTGGCTCGTCAGGCGTAGACAACAGCCGACGGATGCCCAACAAGGCAAGTCGGGCCAATCGTCTGCGCGCATCTGCGAGTGTGCGTACTACTGTCTTCTACGGGGCAATGCTGGCCAGCCGCATTGCTGCAGCATTGGCACGCCGTCGACCTGCAGTGTTGGCAGGTCGCTCTTCTGCAGTGCTGGCGCGACTCCTCTACGCAACGCTGGCAGGCGGTCGACCATGCGGTGCAGGCGGTCGACCAGGCTAGCTGCAGAGTTGCTAGGTGCCTGATGTAGTCATTCTGTCATTGCTTGTTGAATCATTCTGGAATTCGTCTCGTCGACGTCCTTCGTCGACCGCCCACCTCCGCTACCACCTCCGCCCGGCTTCGCGTGTCACAGGATCAAATTTCCACTCGAGAATGTTGCACTATAGGTGAGTACAAGGCGTATTTATACTCAGAAATACATAGAAACAAGCGATAATCCGAACCTTCGGGAACGCGCTCTTCTAGGATAGATAATCACTAGTGCGCATAAGCACGCAAGCCCATTGGCACATTGGATTATGGTGAGATTACGCCTTGTACACCATGTTAAATTGTAATGTGTTATATGTTGGTAGGCTGTAGTGGGGTAGCCAATATGGGGTACATTCCCAACTAGGGTTTGCTACTTGTACCCAACTGTTTCATTCAATGCATTCATTCTTGCCTAGTTCTTCTAACATGGTATTCAGAGCAGGAGGTCCCTAGGACCTACCGACCGTTTTTTTTTTAAGGGCCCACCACCGCTCGCATGCGGTTACTACGCTACCCCGTGCCCTAGCCTCGTTAGCGCCCTCGTGCGTCCTCGTTAGCGCCCTCGCGCGCCCTCGTTAGCGCCCTCGCGCGCCTCTCGTTAGCGCCCTCGCGCGCCCTCGCTAGCGCCCTCGTGCGCCTCTCGCTGGCGCCCTCGCGCGCCCCTCGCAGCGTCGCCCGCCCGCCGAGCCGCCCTCTCGCAGCGTCGCCCGCCTGCCGCGCTGCCCGTTTTGCAGCCCGCCCGCCGAGCCGCCTGCTCGCAGCGTCGCCCGCCCGCCCGCTGCCCGCTTGCAGCGTCGCCCGCCTATATATACACCTAAATGAAAAATTGTCCATGCCTAGTTGTCAAGTTTGTCCCAGCAATACAATGTGAATCTCATCTGCCGCAAAGATTACACGCTCTTCTAACGAGTAAATTTTGTATTGTTTCCTTTCACACGTCAACTCGAATTCGGCGCTCGTCTCTTGGTTCTTGGTTCTTCGTTCTTCGTTCTTGATTCGTAGTTTTGGTTCTTGGTTCTTGGTTGGTTCTTGATCCTTGGTTCAACCTAAATCTACTAGCTACCCCGCCGTCGCCTCTCCTCCCATCCCAGTGTATCCTCTCCCTCCCATCCCGCCAGCGCCTCTCCGTCCTCCCAACCGCCGTCGCCTCTCCCTCCCATCTCGCCATGGCCTCTCCCTCCCGCCCCGTCATAGCCCTCCCTTCCTCCTCGCCATCACCTCTCCCTCCCTTCCCGTCGTCGCCTCTGATGGGTGCACGACCATGAGCACGGGTTGCTAAACGATCTCGCGTTGTTTTCTGCGGAACCGTTGTCTCAGGTGCGTTTACGTTTCTCGGACCTTTATACTTCCCTCCTCCTGCCGAATTTTATTAGGTTTTCTACTTTCTTCGTAAGTTCTCTATGCTGAATTTTCTTAGCATTACACTGCCATTGCTCTCCTCTTTGGTCGCCTAACGCGCTGGCGCCTAGCGCGCTGGCGCCTATCGCCCTGGCGCCTAACGCGATGGCGCCTAGCGCGCTGGCGCCTAGCGCGCTGGCGTCTAACACGCTGGCGCATAGCGCGCTGGCGCCAAGCGCGCTGGCGTCTAACGCGCTGGCGCATAGCGCGCTGGCGCCTAACGCGCTGGCACCTAGCGCGTTGGCGTCTAGCGGGCTGGCGCCTAGCGCGCTGGCGCCAAGCATGCTGAGGGAGCGCGTGAGAGAGCGCGTGAGAGAGCGCGTGAGAGAGCGCGTGAGAGAGCGTGTGGGAGAGCGCGTGAGAGAGCGCGTGGGAGAGCGCGTGATGGAGCGCATGCGAGGGCGTGTGAGAGAGCGCGTGAGAGAGCGCGTGAGGGAGCGCGTGAGAGAGCGCGTGAGAGAGCGCGTGAGAGAGCGCGTGAGAGAGCGCGTGAGAGAGCGCGTGAGAGAGCGCGTGATGGAGCGCGTGAGGGAGCGCATGAGAGCGCGTGAGAGAGCGCGTGAGGGAGCGCGTGAGAGAGCGTGTGAGAGAGCGCGTGAGGGAGCGCGTGAGAGAGCGCGTGAGAGAGCGCACACGTGAGGTTGCGTGTGAGAGAGTGCGTGAGAGAGAGTGAGAGTACGCGTGAGAGTGCGCGTGAGTGAGCGCGAGAGAGAGCGCGTGAGGGAGAGAATGCGCGTGAGTGCACGAGAGTGAGCGCGTGACAATGCGCGTGAAAGAGCGCGTGAGAGAGTGCATGAGAGAGTGTGAGTGTGCGCGTGAGTGTGCGAGTGAGAGTGCACATGAGAGAGCACGTGAGAGGGAGAGAGAGGCGTGGCGCCACTGCTAAGCGCCAGAGGCGCGGGCCAGGGAGACCCCCTCGGTCCCCTCCTCTTTGCGGCAAGCATCCACCCCTGCTTAGTCGCAACGACCGCAGCTCACCCTCGGGTCGTCATACTGGCCTACGCGGACGACATCACACTGCTGGGGAAGGCTGAAGCATGCACCGAGGCGTTCTCTCACCTTACAGCAGCGCTACGTTGCATCGGCCTTGAGCATAACCTAGGGAAATGCGAGGCCTGGTCCGCAGCTGCCATCGATCCCTCCACCCTCCCGCCAGGCTTCCCCATCGCAGCAGATGGACTGCGGGTACTTGGGAGCCCAATTGGGACGCCTGCAGGCTGCGCCTCAAGGATAAGAGAGAGACTGGCGGCTGCAGCGGAACCTTTGCCGCTACTGTCACAGATGGACCCCCAGCTGTGCCTGCTCCTACTCACTCGCTGCGTGGGGCGGCGAGCCTCCTTCCTGGCCAGAACTACACCCCTCGCGGCCCTACCAGAGGAGGAGTGGTCGGCGTGGGGGGAGCAGCTGCTACTCACCTTCCTGGAAGCAGCCCACATTATGGTCCCGAGAAGTGACGCGGAGAAAGGGCGAATCTGGAGGCAGGCGGCGCTGCCTGTAACACTGGGCGGGCTCGGTATTACAAACCCGGCAGTTGGGGGGGGTTATGCCTACCTTGCGTCGGTGGTCGGCACCTCCCACCTCCTGCGCTCCATGACCGACACTCTACACCCAGATGTGGCAGCCCTCCTCCCCCTAATGGACCCCGCCCCTGGCTCTGCGCATGATCTGCCAGCACGCCTTGCAGCAGCAGAGGCAGCCTTCCCCCCAGAGGCTCTGGAGATCCTTCAGGCAGGGAAAGCCAACCCCCAGGGCCTCAAGCTGCAGCAGTCGCTAGCGCTAGCGGTTCAGACACGCCGCTTCCTGAGAGTCATGAACGAAGCAAGGGGGATGCGCCCCAACCCCCTCTCTGGCCACGCGCAGCGGATGCAGTCGGTGCTTGGCCCAAGAGCGGGAGACTGGCTGCTAGCGTTACCCATCATACCTTCGCTTAGAATGGGCCCCTCCCAGCTCTCCTCGGCCGCCGCCTTCCGCCTCGGCCTCCCCCTACCTGTCCCCAGGCGCTGCGACTGCCGCTTCAGCACGAAGTTCCCAGACGACCGCCTCCCCAACCACCTCATGCGCTGTGAGAAAGGGGGAGGGCGGATTGCTACTCACCACGCTCTCCGGGACGAGATAGCCCTGATAGCGGCAGAAGCGGGGTTCACGGTGCACAAGGAAACATACGTTTATTCTCTCATTGAAAACCTGAAGGCGGACGTCACAATCCGCCATCCCCTGACGGGAGAAGTATGGATGTGCGACGTGACAGTAACTGACCTCGTGTCCCATCAGGACAAGCACTGCAACAAAGCACCGGGGTGGGCTGCAAGGGCGGCAGCAGACAGGAAAGAGCAGAAATATGCGCACAGGAACGCGTGGGTGGGCTTCCACGCACTGGCGGTCGAAACCTATGGGTACCCCTCGCCCGGGGTGATGGCGTTTTTGCGGCAATGCGCGGAGCTGGCGGCTAAGCTGAGATTCAACGCAGCTCCCTCCTCCTACGAGGCCGCCAAGCTGCTGACGGAATACCGCCAGCGCTGGAGCGTGTGCCTCCAGAGGGCGCAGGCCAACGCTCTCCGTTGCAAGACCAACGAGGCGCTGGCTGCGGATGAGCTGGGCATGCGGGGGCCATTTGCCCCCCTTAGCGAGGGCCAGCTGTACCAGCTGATAGAGCCCCCGTTCGACCTCTAGGGCCGGACGAAGGGGGGCGGGAGATAGGGAGGGTTAGGATCTAGATAGGATGCATATTTTTGCATGATTGGTATGCTTGTGTTTGCGTCATCCCATGTACCCCCCCTACTAATACAAGGACCGTTCGAGAGTGCGCGTGAGAGTGCGCGAGAGAGTGCATGTGAGAGTTTGCGTGTGAGAGTTTGCGTGAGAGAGCGCGTGAGAGTGTGCGTGAGAGAGCATGCGAGAGAGCGCGCGAGGGAGCGCACGAGAGAGCGCGTGAGAGTGCGCGTGAGAGTGCGCGTGAGAGAGCGCGTGAGAGTGCGCGTGAGAGTGCGCATGAGAGTGCGCGCGAGAGAGCGCGCGAGGGAGCGCGTGAGAGAGAGCACGTGGGAGAGCGCGTGAGAGAGCGTGTGAGAGAGAGAATGTGCGTAAGAGTGCGTGAGAGAGAGCACGAGAGGAGCGCGCCTGAGAGAGCGAGTCAGAGAGCGCGTGAAAGAGCGCGTGAGAGCGCATTAGAGTGCGCGTGAGCGAGTGTGTGAGAGTGCCCGTGAGAGTGCGCGTGAATGCACGTGAGAGAGCGCGTGAGAGAGCGCGTGAGAGCGCGCGTGAGAGTGCGCGTGAGAGCGCGCGTGAGAGCGCGCGTGAGAGCGCGCGTGAGAGTGCGCGTGAGAGAGCGCGTGAGAGAGCGCGTGAGAGTGCGCGTGAGAGAGCGCGTGAGAGCGCGTGAGAGTGCGCATGAGAGAGCGCGTGAGGGTGCGTGTGAGAGAGCGTACGTGAGGTTGCGTATGAGAGAGCGCATGAGAGAGAGTGAGAGTACTCGAGAGAGTGCGCGTGAGAGAGCGCGAGAGAGAGCGCGTGAGAGAGAGAATGCGCATGAGTGCGCAAGAGCGAGCGCGTGAGAGGGCGCGTGAGAGTGCGCGTGAGAGAGCGCGTGAGAGAGCGCGTGAGAGAGCGCGTGAGAGAGCGCGTGAGGGTGCGTACGAGAGAGCGCGTGAGAGAGCGCGTGAGAGAGCGTGAGTGTGCGCATGAGTGTGCGCGTGAGAGTGCGCGTGAGAGTGCGCGAGAGAGTGCATGTGAGAGTTTGTGTGTGAGAGTTTGTGTGAGAGTGCGCGTGAGAGAGCGCGTGAGAGTGTGCGTGAGAGAGCGCTCGAGAAAGCGTGCCAGAGAGTGCACGTGAGGTTGCGTATGAGAGAGCGCATGAGAGAGAGTGAGAGTACGCGAGAGAGTGCGCGTGAGAGAGCGCGAGAGAGAGCGCGTGAGAGAGAGAATGCGCATGAGTGCGCAAGAGCGAGCGCGTGAGAGCGTGCGTGAGAGTGCGCGTGAGAGAGCGCGTGAGAGAGCGCGTGAGAGAGCGCGTGAGAGAGCGCGTGAGGGTGCGTACGAGAGAGCGCGTGAGAGTGCGCGTGAGAGAGCGTGAGTGTGCACGTGAGTGTGCGCGTGAGAGTGCGCGTGAGAGAGTGTGTGAGAGTGCGCGTGAGAGTGCGTGTGAGAGTGCGCGCGAGAGAGCGCGTGAGAGTGCGCATGAGAGTGCGTGAGAGAGCGCGTGAGAGAGAGCATGAGGGAGTGCGCACCAAGAGAGCGTGTGAGAGAGAGAATGTGCATGAGAGTGCGGGAGAGAGGGCGCAAGAGGGAGCGCGAGAGAGTGTGCCTGAGAGTGCTCGTGAGAGAGTGCGTCAGAGAGCGCGTGAGAGAGCGCATGAGAGTGCGCATGCGAGAGCGCGTGCGAGAGCGTGTGAGAGAGCGGGTGAGAGAGCACGTGAGAGCACATGAGAGATCCCGTGAGAGAGCGCGTGAGAGTGCGAGTGAGAGAGCGCGTGAGAGAGCACGTGGGAGAGCGCGTGAGAGAGCGCGTGAGCGTGCGCGTGAGAGTGCACGTGAGAGTGTGCAACCGTGAGAGTGCGCGTGAGAGAGCGCGAGCGCGTGAGAGAGCGCGTGAGAGAGCGCGTGAGAGAGCGCGTGAGGGAGCGCGTGAGGGAGCGCATGCGAGTGCGCGTGCGAGAGCGTGTAAGAGCGGGTGAGAGAGCACGTGAGAGAGAGCGTGAGAGCACGTGAGAGAGCCCGTGAGGGAGCGCGTGAGAGTGTGCGTGAGAGATCGCGTGCGTGAGAGAGCGCGTGAGAGAGCACGTGTGAGAGCACGTGAGAGAACGCGTGAGAGAGCGTCTGAGAGAGCGCGTGAGAGAGTGCGTGAGAGAGCGTGTGAGAGAGCGTGTGAGAGATTGCATCAAAGAAGCGCGTGAGAGTGCGTGAGAGTGTGCGAGAGAGACCGCGTGAGAGAGAATGCACATTAGAGTGCGCGAGAGGGAGCGCGAGGGAATGCATGAGAGCCCGTGGGAGTGTGAGTGAGAGATTGTGTGAGAGAGCGTGTGAGAGGGCGCATGAGAGTGCGAGCGAGAGAGCCCGTGAAAGAGCGCGCGGGAGAGCACGTGAGAGAGAGAATGCGCGTGAGAGTGCGCGAGAGGTTGCGCGAGAGAGAGCGTGTGAGGGAGCGCGTGAGATTGCGCTTGAGAGAGCGTGTGAGAGAGCGTGTTCGAGAGTGCGTCAGAGAGCGCAGTAGAGAGCGCGTGAGAGTGCACGTGAGTGCGCGTGAGAGTGCGCGTGAGAGAGCGCGTGAGAGTGCGCGTGAGAGAGCGCGTGAGTGTGTGCGTGAGACCACGTGTGAGAGAGCGCGTGAGAGAGCGCGTGAGTGAGCGAGTGAGAGCGCGTGAGTGTGCGCATGAGAGAGCATGTCAGAGAGTGTCAGAGAGCGCGTGAGAGGCGTGTGAGGGAGCGCATGACAGAGCGCGTGAGGGAGCGTGTGTGTGTTGACTACTCTGTTTTTGCTTGTGCAGGGCGTGTGTTGACTACTCTGTTTTTGCTTGTGCAGGGCTTGTGTGTGTTGACTTCTCTGTTTTTGCTTTGTGCAGGGCACGTGTGTGTTGACTTTTCTGATTTTGCTTTGTGCAGGGCACGTGTGTGTTGACTTCTCTGATTTTGCTTTGTGCAGGGCGTGTGTGTGTTGACTTCCCTGGTTTTGCTTTGTGCAGGGCGTGTGTGTGTTGACTTCCCTGATTTTGCTTTGTGCAAGGCGTGTGTGTGTTGACTTCCCTAACTTTGCTTTGTGCAGGGCGTGTGGGTGTTGACTTCCTGATTTTGCTTTGTGCAGGGCGCAGCTGCTGAGAAGGGAGATGAGGGAGGGAGTGGGAGGGGGATGAGGGAAGGAGGGAGGGAGGGTTGTAGGGAGGGGAAGGTGGGATAGGCCAGCAATCATATCTGCATTTCTGATTGTTATTCATGACGGTTGCGTCTTTATTACGGTCTCTGTATCTATCTGTGCTTGTTTGCGTGTGTGTTAGTGTGTGTTGTGCATGTGCTTATGTGTGTGTGAATGTGCGCGTGTGAGTCAATGTGAGATATGTGTGTTTGTCTGTTTGCACCTGTCTGTCTCGAGGCGTGTTGTGTGATGTTAAAGTGTGTCGGGTCTGCATTTGAGGTGGGGATCGTTGTTGGGGCAGCGTTGCTCGCCTTAGCATACCAGAACCACCTTTGCTGTAGCACCGATGCATTTTAGCATTCACGCACGGTTGTTTGTGTTGTTTATGCACGCGTTATGCAACTGAGGTGTGATGTTGAAATGTGTCGGGTCTGCATTTGAGGTGGGGATCGTTGTTGGGGCAGCGTTGCTCGCCTTAGCATACCGGAACCATCTCTGCTGTAGCATCGATGCATTTTAGCATTCACTCTCAGTTATGTGTTGTTTTTGCACGTGTTCAATGGATGCATTGCACATGATTTGCGTTCACGTCCAGTGGGTGTTTCTCATCAATTGTGTTTCGTGACGACCGATTGTTCCATTCGCCGTATTTATCGACGATTATGGAATGAAAGGTTACATTTGGTTTCATTTTTGGGGGACTCACGTGTCAGTGTTTTCGTCATGTCCACAACTTTGGAGCACTCGTTTTGAAAACGTAAAAACGAGGGATTTAAACGTTGGGAAAATGACAAAAACTGCACTGTTCATTCGAGTCGACCGAAAAGTGCTACCAAATATAAAGGGTTGCTACGCAACCCAAAAAAAAAAAAAAAAAAAAAAAAAAAACCGATTTTCCTCATCCTAATTTTGTGAACGTATCCGTTTTCTACCTGGTTTTGGTATCTATAACTAGCTCTTCCTGTAAGGCGTACGTGCTCCCCAAGACACACCTGCTTGGACTGGTCAACTGTGTGTTCGTTCAGGACTGGTCAGGACGCGGTAAGAGTAGACGATCAACCGTCAGTCACGATCGATGTGCGGGTTGGTTACCCTAATAAGTATGCTGTAACCATGCTACAATGCGTATTTTGGCCAAAATTTTTGTTCAGTGCGTGAATGCGACTGATCACCGATCGCGGGAGATCTGTCAATTCTCAGTGGCGATCGTTACAACATCGCGATCGCCACGTTTCGCCAATTGATCCGCCAAATCTGTTCCGAGGATCGATTTTGCAGCGCGAGCCAGCGATCTTCTTACTTGAACCTCGTCCTCAAGTGCTCGATCGGGGGAGATCGATCCACTCACCGCACTGAAACCCTGTTTTATCGCATACGAAAAGTACACAACCGTTTACAACCGCGCTAAAAAATGATCCTGAGGCGATCGATTCTCTACTCTCACCACGTCCTCATCCAGCACAGCTCGTGTTCTCCTCTCATCCAGCGCACCTCTCCCTTCCCGCCATAAATTTCCAGGGGGAGTTGGCTGCGTCGGGTGTTATCTGTGACCTAACCCGAGACTAGTAAATAGGCTCCACATCTGTCGGTGCCTTCCGTACCGCATTTCACATTCGCGACACGGAATGTCTTGAAATTGATCGCTGGCGAGGCGATTCGAAGCCAAACCACGTTCGTCAGGATTTAACCTTCTATAAAAGCAGAGGCATGATGGATCCGCTCATCATCCACTCCAACTGGCTAGTGAGAATCCTTACTGCTCGCTCTCAGTACCGTGCTTCGACGCTCTCGATTATACTCGTCTTACATTTCGACTCCGGTTAGAACCAGCATCTGAGACGTCTACAATCCCAGAATCGACTCCCGATCGGTACTCGCTGTTCCGCTCTCACCTTCCAGCGTTCGCGTTTATCGATTTCATGCAAGGAGGCAACATGGCTTCCACGCGGCGTTTCCTGCTTCTCGTGGCACTCGCGCTCGTCGCCACGACCGTGAGTTTCATTCCATTCTCGTCATTGCACATCGTCTCGTCATGCCGTTCTTTCAGTCGTCGCGTCACGATGTCCGTTTTAACGAATCTACGAATCCTCGCACCCACTTGCTGAGATTGTCATGTCGATGATTTCATTCCATCTCCACCCACGCTCATGTCCGTACTCTTCCCACATCCTCCCTCATCGCTTTCCCGTCCCTTCAGTGCTCGCGGAAGCCGCCAGCAAGACCCGCTCGCAGGCAACGTCAGGCGAGGTGAAGGCCAAGGCTACTGCAGCCAACAAGCGGGCTGACCACTCGGGGGTGGCCGGGTCGGCGTCTGGAAAGAAAGCAGCCCGCTCGCAGCAGCCGGCAGTGCAGACGGCTGGCGGCAAGCGGCAGGGGCAGCAAGAGACGACGATGGGCGTGAAGCAGCACAAGTCGTTTGACGGCCACGTGGCAGCCAACGGAACTCGCGTGGCGGGAGGAAAGGGGCACGTGAATGGCACGAGGCACGTGAATGGCACGAGGCACGTGAATGGCACGAGGCACGTGAATGGCACGAGGCACGTGAATGGCACGAGGCCACAGCGGGGTGGTGCTGCTGGTGGCGCTGGTGGGCTGCGCAAGGAGGGCGGCGGTGCTGGTGGCAGGCGTGGTGGGCAAGGAGGCAGCGTGATTGGTGAGTGGAACTGCATCATTGCATGACTGCTGCTGACGTCTTATTGGCCACTTGTGGCTACCAAAGTGTGTGCGATTTTAAAGTTTATTGCTGCAGCCTGTGGCAAGCGAGTCGACTTGACGCCTTGCTTGCTTGCCCGTGGCAGGTGTGGTGGGTGCGTGGATGAGCGGCAAGCAGATGGTGGGGTCAGCAGGCATGGCCAATGCCACTGGCCGCCTGGAGCTCACACTTGTCAAGTCAGTGCTGCTCTGCCTCGCCTTCTCTCATGCTCTCTGCCACCACCTCTCCTTGCACGTGCTTCTGACCCCTCCTTGCTCCTCTGCTGCTCACTCTCATCGCACCCCTCCATCCTGGAGCTCACGCTTGTCAAGTCAGTACCACTATGCCTGTCCTCTACTCTTTCTCTTTTGCACCAGCCTTGGCTCTGCTTCTCCTTTCACTTGCATATGAGCCCTCCTCTCCCTGCAATGCTACTCGCTGCTCTGCTCTCCACGCTCCATCTCAGCCCTCCTGTTTTCACCCTGCCTTTCTTCCTCACCCCCCTTATCTTCCCCACCCCCTTCCCCACCCTGCATTCCCCAGGACGGCCACGGGCATGGACGTGCACTACTCGCTCTCCCTCGCGCACCTCTCCTCGCCCTTCCCTCCCACCGCGGCCTCCATCCACGCAGGCCGCGCCTCCTCCCCCTCTGGCTCGCTCCTCCTCGCCTTCCCCGCCTCCGCCTGGACCAACACCACCCGCCCCGTCCATCGCGCCACCAACGCCACCGCTGCTCCCCCCCCTGCGACTGCGCGCTTCAGCTACGGCGCCAGGGGCGTGTGGGGCAACGCGTCGTCCCTCTCCGCCGCTGCGGGCGGCTCTGTGGCTGCGGCTGTGAGCAGCATTCTCGCTGCCCCCGCCTCCTTCCACGCTCTCATCGCCACCTCCACGTTCCCCCAGGGAGCCGTGCGCGGCCAGATGGGCAACGTGACCCGCGGGGGGAAGTAGCAGCGCGGAGAGAAGGGGGCGTTGAAGGGCAAATGGTCAGCATGGCATGTGGTTGACAGGTGCACAGATGGAGGGGGACGGGAGTTGATTGGTGGGGCTGGGAAAGGGGAGGAGCCGCAGTTGCGCTGTGCATGAGAAGTTAGAAGGGGCCCTGTGAGCGTGCAGATGACAAGTATGATCCACGGGCGGCAGGGAGTCTCCCCACCCCATAAGGATTTCTAAATAGAGGGTGGATTACGATTCTCAGGTGACATGCTTACCCTCACTTAGCAGATGCTCTTACATTTTGCTAGGACACGTTTGTCGTGTCTACGTGGAGGAAGGGGTTGGCTTTAGGTAGGCCTTGGCAACATGCAATATACGCCTAAGGTTCAAATGCTGAAAAAAGTGCGGGTAAAACGAAACAGTTGCCAAGTCGCGTACAGTTGCTGCCTGACCATTTTTGTTATGAGTTGTAAGATGAGTGTGACGAATGCAATATCGCGGAAGTGACTACAACTATTGCTCGAATAATGAGACCCAGCACAGATACTGTATAGCGATGGGGCAGCATTCGACTGCTGCTGCTGCTGCTGCTGCCGTTGCTGCTGCTGTAGCGGCTGCTGACGGATTCGCGAGCCTCGCTTCGAGTCGTTGTAGCGCCGCGCGCATTTGCTCTTGTTGTCAAACTATGAGGTTCTCTTGATACGAGGATAGGAATACCATGCCCTATGTATTTTTTACCCAAGTAACAAGCTATACTTCATTACACCGTTGAATTACTCATGCATTATACCATTGCATTTCATGCATTACTGTTAGAATAGAACAGCCCCCCGCCCAACCGCTGTTGCGGGCCCCGCCCTGCAGCAGCCGACGCGGCCTCGCCAGCCAACCCTAACATTGGGTTGTACCCTTTATGGGCTACCCCACTACAGCCTACACAAGTACCGTAATCACCCGGACATACCACCCGCCGAAATAGAACACCCCCCGGGTGGCTTGTGCGGGGTGGGTGCTATAGCGGACCTCGTTTCTACTATACCCCCCTTTTGGGCCGATCCGGTATAAGACCCGGAGGGGGGGGGGGGGGGGGGGGGGGGTGTTATGTACGGAAAAAATTGTTGTTTTCGCCTAAATTTTGCACAGGGACGTGACCGCACCAGCGAGGCTGCTAAGCCTGTTGCGGGACTCCCGCCTCTGTGACTGCATGAATCCTCGTCGAGCGACGGGGGGTGTGTTTTCGACCAATCAGGGCATGACAGAGGGCCTGTTGGAGCTTGCAATGTGGCAGCTTCCACTCGAGGCTAAGGGCGTGTGCACTAGGAGTTCGAACTTCTGTCTAAGTTCGAACTTTTAGCGAGGTTCTACTCGGTGCAAAGCGGTGAATGTTCGAACTTTGACAAATTTCGCCTTAAGTGCACACGCCCTAACGTTATCGCCTCATCCTCGGTTTTGCGCACCCAACCAACAATCTACCACCGCAGCAAGCATGTACATTTTGTTCCCAACCGTTTCTGCTTTTTAAAAATTGTACATTATAAAAAGACCCGGGTGTTATGTAGCTTTTTCCCATGAGAAGACCCCCCCTTTTTTTTGATGTAGTTATCATAGCACCCTAGGGTGGTATGTCCGGGTGATTACGGTATATAACATATACAGTTTGACACACCCCCATAGGCAAAGTGAGGGAGAACAAGGGGTCACAAGACCAGTCAAGAAACGCAAAACAAGCTCAGGGTGGATCACAACGTCACCACACAAACTGAGCACAAGCAAAGGGCCACAAGGCCAGTCCACATGCAGAGATATATATATGCAACAAGAGCAGTACAGTGATCAATACCTAGCAAGAGCAAGCATGCAGGTATAAATATAGAGCACAGTACACACAAAGGCTACAGCAAGTGTGGAAACGTAGGCACAAGGCCTAACAAAGTACAAAAGCGCTGATGATCACCAGACGGAAGTGCCTTGGTGAATATATCAGCAGTGTTGGCCCGAGTGGCCACGTGTGCAAGACGAAGCTGACCACGCTGCTGCAACTCTCGAGCCAGGAAGTAACGCAGAGCGATGTGCTTCGTTCTGTGCTCCAGTCTGTGCTCCTCACACAAGGCAATGGCAGCCTTGTTGTCGACGTACAGAACTGGAGGAGAACGAGGCCGCTCTCCCAGGTCGGTCAGCAGGTAGGTGAGCCAGCGTAACTCCTGAGCAGCCATGGCGGTGGCGTAGATCTCAGCCTCACAACTGGAGCTGAGAACAGAAGACGAGCGAGTAGAACGCCAAGAAACTGAACCAGACCAAGGCTGAAAGTGTAACCCTGTGACGACCGCTGCGTAGCCTGGTCATCAACCCAAGAAGCGTCTGAGTGTCCAGTGAGGACCACGTCTCTCTGCCCTCCAAGCACGAGCCCCATGCCCGATGTACTGCACAAGTAGCGCAATACCCTCTTCGCGGCATCCCAGTGCACCTTTCGGTGTCGACCAGGAGCCACGTAGCGTGCCAGAAGGCCAAGAGGGTACGCAAGGTCAGGACGAGTGCAGGTCATCAGGTACATGAGGCAGCCCACTAGCTCTGGGTAAGGACCACTCGGCTCTACGGACTCATCCGAAGGTGGAGCTGAGAGCGAGTGACTTGTAGCCAGAGGAGTGGCCTGTGGCGAGGACCAGGTGAAGCCGAAGCGCTGAAGGACCTGCTGCACCATGTGTGACTGAGTTAGTGTGATGGTGCAGCGTGCTCTGTCCCGGGTGATCTGCAAGCCAAGGTAGCTGCGCAGTTCACCCAGGTCTGTGCACGTGTGTCTCTTCTGCAGCTCCGACTTCACCAGGGCGAGAGCCTCAGTGCCAGCAGTGGCAAAGACCAAGTCGTCGACGTACACGAGAATGTAGAACGGCGGCAGCGAAGTGTCGGTGTGCAGAAACAGCGACGGGTCAGCAGTCGAAGGAGCAAACCCAAGAGCCGCAAGCGTAGTCCTCAGTGTGTCGTGCCACTCACGAGGTGCCTGGCGGAGAAAGTAGACTGGCCGCCGGAGGCTCCACTGGGTACCAGGCGGGAACGACCCAGTGAAGCCAGGTGGGCGGCGCAGCCAGATCTCCTCGTGCAGGCTGCCCTGTAAGAAGGCTGTGCTGAAGTCCAGTGAGTGAAGCTCGTAGTCACGCTGAGCGGCAACGTGCAGCAGTACCCGAAGAGTGGTCATCTTCGGGGTGGGGGAGAAGGTCTGGAAGAAGTCAACTCCCTGTCGAAGGCTGAAGCCTCGAGCAACGTAACGCGCCTTGAAGACAGGCGGAGAACCCGGTGGCCGCTTCACCCTGAAAATCCACATGCCATCGACGATGTTCGCCCTAGGAGGGGGAACCTCGTCAACGTAAGTGCCTGTGGACTTCCAGGATGCCATCTCTGCGTCCATGGCTGTCTGCCACTGAGAGGAGTAGGGACCCGCAATCGCCTCAGCGTAAGAGCGCGGGGTAGGGATGTCTAGAGCATCCGGGTCTCCCTCAGGTGCAAGCAGCATGGCCACGAGATGAGGCGCAGCGGCCGCAAGACACTCAAGTTCCTCCTGTCTGTCCTCAAGGACGTCCGTGCCAAGAGCACACTCACCCCCGACGGACGGAGGACAGACAGACGCAGACTCAGCAACAAGACTAGCAGCGTAGTCTAGACGACAGGCAGCAGCAAAGTCAACAAGCTCAGCGACCAAGGCAGACGCAGCAGCAGACTCAAACGACGGGTCGGTGACAACAGTGGCTAACAGACGCGTAACAGTAGGGTGCTCAGCACGAAACCGGTCAGACTCAGGGTCCGGAACGTCAGGCAGAGAGGACGCAGGAGGAGACGGCAGAGGAACAGACTGTGGAACAGAGGAAGGACGACGGACAACGAGGTGCTCACCGGAGACAGCCGGCGGACGCGGACGGGAAACACGGCGACTTGTACGACCAGTGCGAACAGGCGAGACAGGACGCAACGCAGGCTCACGACGCTCAGTAAGACCCCCGAGCTGCTCAGTGTAAGGAGAAGGAGCAGGCAGCGGTGAGCCAGGCTGTAACGGAAGACCAGTAGAAGACGGGAGGCTAAGAACCTGGCGAAGCACAGAGTCAGGCGGTGGCGGGGACGACTGAGACGGCGGAGGGAAGAACAGTCGTGGTTGTGCCGTGCCACCAGTACCAACAGCTCCAGCGGCTCCAGCACCAGCTCCTCCAGGACTAGCTCCACCAGTAGCAGCACCCCCAGAACCGGCACCTCCAGTCCCAGGGTCTCCAGCCGCAGCGTCTCCAGCAGCAGCACCCCCAGAACCGGCACCTCCAGTCCTAGGGTCTCCAGCCTCAGTGTCTCCAGCAGCAGCACCCCCAGACACAGTACCTCCAGTCCCAGCAGCTCTAGGACCGCCAGTACGAGCACCTCCGGGACCAGCAACTCCAGCACATCCAGAAGACAAAGTACTTGCGCCACTCCCAGCTCCAGTGGCGTCAGCAGAAGCACCTCCAGCGGCAGAGCTGCGAGCTCCAGCAGCGCGAACCTGACGGCGACCGTACCAGTCGTGCAGCTGCTGTGAGGTGAGAGGCACACGCGGACGAAGGCGGCCACTCCAAGGAGACCGCGCACCAGCAGTCGCAGTACCTTCAGGCACCGCACCCCCAGACTCAGCACCCCCAGACTCAGCACCCCCAGACTCAGCACCCCCAGACTCCACACTCACAGGCTCAGCACCCTCAGCAGCTCCAGAATCTCCAGCTCCAGCGCCACCAGTGCCAGGACCTCCAGCAGAAACAACTCCAGTAGCAGAGTCACAAGCTCCAGCGCCTCCAGCAGCAGGGTCCCTAGCTCCTGTAGCGCGACCCTGACGGTGAAGGTACCACTCACGCAGCTGCTGTGGGGAGAGAGGGAGTAGACGACGAGAGTGCAGCGGCGAGGCACCAGCGGAGCGACTACGGAGACGGCCGCTCCAGGGAGACTGCTCACCAGACGCCTCAGTGCCCCCAGGTGTAGCACCCCTAGGCTCAGTACCTTCAAGCCCAGCACCC